CGCACATCGTCTGTGTTAGAACTTATTCACTCAGACTTAGCAAATTTCAAAAGTACTGAAAGTAGAGGTGGAAAACGCTACTACATTTCGTTTATTGATGATTTCTCTCGTTTCACAAAAATATATCTTCTGAGAACAAAAGACGAAGCTGAACAAAAATTTTGGTTTTCAAATCAGAAGTAGAAAATCAGTTAGAGAAAAACATTAAAAGGCTTCGTTCTGATAGAGGAGGGGAATATGAATCAAACTTTCTCAAAAGCTTGTGTGAGTCTTCTGGCATTATTCATGAAGTAACTGCTCCTTATACACCCCAACAAAATGGCATAGCTGAAAGGAAAAACCGCACACTCAAAGAGATGACTAACGTCATGTTAATCAGTGCGGGTGCGCCAGACTCCTTGTGGGGAGAAGCTGTGCTAACTGCGAACCACATACTTAATAGAGTGCCTCATAAAGGGTTTGAAAAAACCCCATATGAGTTGTGGAAAGGGCATGGCCCTAACCTCAAATACTTTAAAGTGTGGGGGTGTTTGACAAAGGTGGGACTCCCATCTTTCAAAAGGCCCAACATAGGGCCCAAAACCTTAGATGCCATATTTGTTGGCTATGCTGAGAATAGTGCTGCTTATAGATTTTTGTGCTTAGAAAGTCGATCAATATGTGAATCTAGAGATGCTATCTTCTTTGAGCATATCTTTCCTTTAAAGTCTTCTCATAGGTCATCGAGTAACAGTGTTCAAAGGATTGAACATGCACTAGATCCCATCGCTAGTGTTGAATTCAGTCCTGATGAACCGAGAAGAAGCAAAAGACCGAGAATAGAGAAAAGCTTTGGTTCTGACTTCATAACCTACTTGACTGAACTGGAAGATGTAAATGAATTATGTGATCAATTCATTTGTCAGTTAGTGTTAGAAGAAGAACCAAAGACCTTTGCAGATGCTATGCACTCTGTAGACTCCACACTATGGAAAGAAGCAATCAAGAGTGAACTAGACTCCATACAGTCTAATCACACGTGGGAATTGGTGAACCTACCTAAGGGATGTAAAGCAATCGGCTGCAAATGGATCTTTAAAAGGAAGTTGAGACCAGATGGGTCCATAGAAAGGTTCAAGGCCAGGTAGCCAAAGGCTACACTCAGAGATTTAGTGAAGATTATTTTTATACATATTCACCTGTAACAAAAATCTCAATTGTTCGTGTCCTGTTTGCTTTAGCATCTTTGCACAGGTTGATAGTACATCAAATGGATGTGAAAACAGCATTCCTGAATGGTGATCTAGATGAAGAGATCTACATGCAACAACCTCTTGGGTGTGTTGCTTCTGGTCAGGAAGAAAATGTTTGTAGACTCAAAAAATCTTTGTATGGTTTAAAACAAGCCCCTAAGCAGTGGTATGAAAAGTTTCATAAAACTTTAATAGACCTAGGTTACACTGCTAACCGGTCTAATGCTTGCTTGTATACCAAACAAATTGAGTTCAAACTTTTGATTCTATGCCTCTATGTAGATGACATGCTGATTTTCAACTCAAGCATAGAAGTTATCAATGAGACCAAAAGGATCCTATGTACTAAATTTGACATGAAGGAGCTTGGCGAAGCCGATGTCATACTAGGGGTAAAAGTGTTAAAAATCGACAAAGGATACATTTTGTCGCAAAGTCACTACACAAAGAAACTGTTAAAGAAATTTGATAGTTTTGATGTGACTCCGGCAAAAACCCCTTATGACCCAAGTGTAAAGTTATCAAAAACTGGAGGGGGAGGGGGGGGGGGGGGGAGTGTATCCCAAGGGGAATACGCAAAAATAATTGGGAGTCTAATGTTTTTGATAAACTATACTAGACCCGATATTGCTTTTGCAGTAAACAAACTCAGTCGGTACACACACAACCCAAATGATACTCACTGAGTGCACTGAGACGAGTGCTTCGGTACCTGAGAGGTACCATTGACTGGGGACTGGACTATGTAAGGTTCCCAGCAGTGATAGAAGGGTTTTGTGATGCATACTGGGTGAATGACATCGAGGATGTCAGTTCAACAAGTGGATGTGTTCCTCATGTGTGGGGCAGCTGTATCGTGGAAATCAACGAAACAGTCATGCATTGCTAGATCGACTATGGAAGCTGAGTTCATAGCGCTTGATCTAGCCAGCCAAGAGGCTGAGTGGCTAAGAAACTTATTGGCAGACGTGCCATTGTGGGGGGTGTCCAACACCTGCCGTACTCATACATTGTGATTCCCAAACTGTTATTTGTGTGGCAAAGAATAGTGTCTACAATGGAAAAAGAAGACACATAAGAGTCAGACATGAGTCTGTGCGACAGTTAATACTGAACAGGGTCATCACAATGGAATTTGTGAGATCTGAGAGGAATATAGCAGATCCTCTCACAAAAGGCTTAAATCGAAAAGCCATCATTGAAACGTCAAGGGAGATGGGCTTAAAGGCAATGAGGTAGCGAATTCATGATGGATACCACCTATGGTGGTCAAACGAAATCGTGGAAAGAGTTACACCATAGTTATGGAAATAAGCGACCATAATATACTCTGTAGCCTGAAGGTGGTCTATGTTGAGATAGACTTGACAGAGTTGAAAGTCTAAATAGAGTTAGACTACAGGGATTGATTATTAGTCAAACTGTTTGACTGTGTAGAACATAATTAGAGTTGACATGAACACTTGAGTTCAAAATTTTACTAACCTGAAAAGTTCAAATGAACATCCTACATTCCTACTTACAGGGAGTAAAACACTCGGTGGCTTCACATGTCAGTTCAAGACTTGTCACTGACATTAAAATCAGCTCTTAGGATTTCGCTCAGACATTATCCTTTTCCTTCCTCTTTGAATATGTGGGGATTGTTGGAAAATTTAAAAAATGAATGAAAAAGGCAGTTTTGCTTGGTCAGCGCAATTTGCGCACACACCTCTGGCCAGCACGTTTCTTGCATTCTTGTGGACATCTCCATTCACGTCCTTTTGCATGGCTGAGATGCGAGAGCTCATTACTATATAATGCAGCTCTCACCATCATTGTAAAACGCTCCATCTCAACTAAAAGCCTAAGCTGGTAGTTAGATTGCACGTTAATGGCTATATGCTCACCAATTCGCCTATTACATTATCTTCTCCTCCTCGTCTGAACATACACACAATTGTGAAGTTCTGCGTTTGCAAGTCGAAAGCACATGATACCCTGATTGTGAAATGCTTTTAATGCAGTGTTACCAATAACACGTCGTAAGAACATATTCTTTTCGTTCATTTATTACTATAGTCCAGCCTACATTAATAGTGCCCTTATTTTAGCGATACGCTCACGACATTGTTATTATACCAAGTTCAACCCTATATTTTTCTACATTTAATCCTCCAATTAATCACATCCATAGATATATTTTTTTAATGGATGAGATTAGTTCTCATGTATTCATGGGAAGGTTGGTTGCTTTTATGTAAAAACTCATAAACTCCACATGAGATAATCACATAAAAGACCATATATAACAAGTTTGACTGATAATGTGTTGACAAGAATCAAACTTGTGACGTAAAGACACGAAAATTATGTTCCACCCACTCGACCACCATTTTTGGGCAACATACAATTTTTTTTTTTTTTTTGTTTTGATAATTGTTGGTTTTGTCGAATTATGTCTTCGACCGAATGAACCCATCTTAAGGCTCATGATGAGGTAAATTAAGTCAATTTAACTTTGATATTCAATATTAAATTGTACACTTCTATGCACAATGAGTTCATTCTATTAAACCCCCACCCTACCACAGAAGACAAATTTTAAGTGATATTTTTAATTCACTAGACTAATACCTTAACCAAACAACATACTTGTTTTTATGTTAAGGATTATTACTCAGTCCCAACTTTCTTTTTTTTTTTTTAAGTATATGTTATAAATTTAATATGTTCATATATTGATTTATAATATAGAATATGCGATTTGGATTATTTGAAATATAGCAATGTGTAAATCTAAACAAGTGAGAAATAAAAAATTTCTAAATAAATAAAAGTCATTCGCTAATAGACAATGAAATAGAAAAATTTAAAGCAGTTTTTAATAGTATTTATAAATATTTATTTTATATCTAAATCTAAAAACCTTATGGGTGACTGGGTGTGTTTGATTTATGGGTTTACACACCAAGGATGTGAATCAAAATCATAATTAGTGTTTAGTTGACAACTTTTTAAAACACAATTATAGAATTTGATTACTCCTTCAAATAAAAATCACATTCCCTAATTAAAAATAGTTATCAATCTAATTTTTAAGTTTGGACTAGTGTTTTGATTTTTTTGGTTCATAGTGGTGATTTGAATGTCAATTTATTAGGATCAATTGCCTTGATATGCTGTTTTTGTATTTTTAAAACCTTTATTCCATTATAGGGTCATACATAACTAAACATCAATATTAGTAATCATTCCAATTCCATCTTACTACCAAACATGCAAAATACTTTCACCAAAACATATTACCATTAATAAGTACTCCGTATTTGATTCCCATTCCAATTTCAATTTTCATGTGAGAACCAAAGACACTCTATATGTATGAATTCATGTCATATTTCTAGTTTTTGTCTGTTTTTTTAGGGTTAATATATTTGCACATCAAGTTTAAAATAACGTACATTACATTTAACTTGAAAAATTACCCTCATTCTGTGAGTAATGAATACAGAGTTATGCCGAAACACTATAAACCATTCAAGACCAAAAGACAAATTTCAACATTGCAACAAAGTCATCCAATGACAAACAAAAACAACAACTTTCAACATTCATTAATAATTCATTAATAAAATAAAATAAAAAAAATTTAGTTCGATCTTTCCCATAAGATTCAAACATAACAAAAATTCCTGCATCAAAGCACTCATCAAAATCACCAAAAATCTCTCATTTTCGTTTAGATTTGTAAATTCATAAAGAAGTTTTTTATTTTTCCTCGACAAGTTCAAGAAATCAACTAATTCAAATCAAACCAATCACATTATTAAAATATACATATAAATATATAACAATGCATAAAGAAACGAAAACTGAAAACACATGAAGTAAACATGGAAGCTAGAGAACGGCAATCAGTAAGCAAACTACCCACATAGGAACGACAATCGTCTCCACTGATTTTGTTTCCTTAATATTCTTAACGCCTTAGCTGCTGTAATCACTGGAAACTCAGTTTTCCTATGCTACCCATTTATCTAGTGAATCATAAACAGCATTCTTCTTCTCAAAGGTAGAAATTAATAGACAATCTAGTATAGACTTAGGAACTCTGTTTTGTATAAAGTATGGTTAATTATTTAAACGCATTAGTTAGCCTACTAACAGCAGGAACAATATAGTATAGACTTACAATCCTAACAAGATTGAGTGCCTTCTGCCCAGACCCAGCAGAATCTCTTTTCTTCCATAACTGGTGTTCTTTCTTTGCTCTTCTCTGAAGTAGTTTTCTGCATTTCCCATTTTGCAATCCATTTAGGGTGCTGGAAATCATTTTCCGGGTTTCCAGTGTTTGGCAAGGCTTGGAAAATTAAAGTCATGGAAAATGATTTCCGGTCAAAGGGGAATATTAGTCAATTTGGACATGTGCATACCATGATAAAAGTTGAAATTTAATCTCAGATACAAGATTTTAACCTGATGAAACTCACTTCTCACCAGTATTTGATCTAACCAGAGATCGTTCACTTTGACCACAGCTAATGTGAACCAGGGGTGTACCAATTACCTATACATTGAACCAGAAATTTCAAAAATGGTAAATCAAAAGTCATAACTGGAAGTGCATAAAGAGAAATTAAACAAAATAGTGGAGATTCAATGATCATTTATGCTTGCCTTTTCAGCTCACACTGCAAACCTCACAGCCTTCTTCCTAGGAGCATGGTAGGTACTTCAAGAACTGAATTTGCAGCAAATCATCCACTCTAACACCTGAAATCTAAAATAGCACATACAAAATGATACCAATAATTAACACTGACAGTAGCAAGATGGCATCGTCAAGACACTTGGATCTAGTGGAAGAAACATCAGCCATGGTTTGAAAAGACGAAAGGGATTATATCAAAGGTAAATCTAGTTTGTATGCCCCATCTCTACTTAATTTTTTTTTTTTAAAAAAAGGATTATATCAAATGTAGTGACAAGTTGACAATACACAAATATCATAAACCAACATCCGAAGCACAATAAACCTAGAACTCAAAAGGCTGGGAACCAAGATCAAAACTTGTCATGTATTTCTTTCAACAAAACTAGCATGAAGTAGCATTCAGACAAAAGTTAAAAACCAAAGTTTTATAAAAGCTACACTAACACAAGCACAGTTCGTAACGAAAAGCAAAGTTGATATTCAAAATAAATAAGCATGAAGGCATTTTTATTGTGAGAAATAAGCACATTAACTTCAATCCTTAGTAATGAATTCCTCCTTGCGCCCCTCGAATCCAGGCCTCATAAGCTTCTTCTCCCTTTTAGCTATTTTCCTCATTGTCTTCTCATGGATTCTCCCTGAAATGTTCTCCCTCCTCTTCTGTTGTCTCTCCTCTTTCAATTTCTCCCTACTCTCCACCCTTTCCTTCCATTTTTGAGTGCTCTTCTCTTTTCTTTTCTTTTCCCTCTTCATACTCTCTTTCAAAAGCCTAGGGTTATCATGGACCTTCACCCCCATTGCCCTATCCACTGCAGCTTTCCAAGATTGTTTCTCAGCCACCTTTGGATTCTCCTTCTTTACCTCTTCCAACCTCTTCAATCTCTCCAGTTCTTTAGCTTTTGGCATCTTCTTCTTCTTCTTATTCTTCCCCTGCTTGTCATCGTCCCCAATCTTTACTTTCCCAAATTCAATTTCACTCAGAACATTCCCCGAATTTGCCCCATTGCCCGTCTTTTCACTATGTTCACCTCCATCACCATTCCTCTTTCGCTTCTTCCCTTCTGACTTCACCAAATTTCTTTCATCGGATTTCTCACCAGTCCCAGCCCCTCTGTTACCACGAAGGGATTCGATTTTCCTCCGGAGCCTCTGCCGCAACTCTTCATAGGTAACCGAACGATCACCCGCATTCTCGTTACCATCATCTTCGCCGAAATCGATAGGTTTATCGTCTGTATTCCCACTCGCGATTTTCTGCTTCTCGATGAGGAGGTCGAGAGTTGAGGATTGGGAAATCTTCTTCTCCGGGTCGAGCCGGTTATGGCGGGCGAGTTTGAGGTTCTCCCTGGACTGTCGCTTGAAAGAGGCCTTTTTGGCTTTGGACAAGCCTTGAAACCATGGCTTGGAGTCGTCGCTTGGTAGGTAGAATCTGGGTGGGATGAGATTTACCAACTTGTCAAAGAAGACGCCGTTCTCGTGTATTAGTGCTTTCAGGTCAGTAGCTCCGGCGTCGACGGCGGTCATGGCGACACACTTGTGCGTTTTCATATTTGGGGACCTATATTGTCCGAGAGAGGAAGATGCTGGCAATGTTGCGTTTGATTAAGGGTTTGGTCTTTAAGGAGTATAATTTGTTAGAGGAAATTTTCAAAATGTCCTCCGACTATAATCCTTTCTTAAATTAGTCCTATCACTTTTAATTAAACTCAAATTGATCCTCTAACTTTACATTTTAAGCCAAATCGATTCTCTGTTAATTAGGTGTGAATTTGACCATCAAATTAAAGAGCAAAACAAAAAATTTACATTATATAATGTTTAGACTACCAAATTAGTAACCAAAGATATTGTGGGTAAGCGGTATGAAGTAACTCTCCTAAATATAAGAGGTCGTAGGTTTGAGTTTCAGTGTAATAGATACTATATGTAAGGTTGGAGTCAAAATCTTTATATGAGCTGAATTTTTTATTTTGCCCTTTAATTTCACGCCAAGTTTTGACAAGTCCATCAAGAAGTCTATAAGATGTATCTTTGTTGTCAGTAGCCCTTAGAAAATCCTTGATATCCAAGATATGTCTAGGTGTGACCCCAAGGATGTTGTTGATTTTTGGAAAAGCCTATTTTCTTGAGCCAATCAATCTGTTCTTGGTTCTCACCTGCATAAATAATGTCATGAAAAGTTTTACCACCTGCATTACCACTATTGGATTAGGGTTGTTGGGTTGTAGCCCTTCGAGTCTTCTTTTCAATGGCGCAAGAATCATCTGAATCAGACATTCCTAGAGTGAGATATGATCAAAATACTAAGGTGTTGTCAAATTCAACAAGAATTACAACTCTTTGGTATTTTAAAGAGCGAATTTTTTTATTTTGCCCTTTAATTTCACGCCCAACTAACGAATGATCAATTTGGCTTAAAATCTAATAGTTGAAAGACCAGTTTGAGTTCAATTAAAAGTTATAGGATCAATTTGAGAAATGACCATAGTCGGAGGACCATTTTAGAAATTTTCTCAATTTATTATGAGAGAACTCATAGAAGTAAATTTAAAAAAAAAAAAAAAAGAGTTAATTTCATTTTTTGTCATAGATTTACATGTGTTAGTTTATTTTTAGTCCTTATTTTTTAGAACATCATCTTTGGTCCTATTATTATTGTAGCACGATAATTTTTTGTTCTCCAATAAAATCGTTGCTTGTTAAATACAAGGTCATTATTTTTTTTAAATACAAAATGGGTTAACCCGCAATATTTTTATTTTTATTTTTTTAAAAAATTTCATAATTGAATACCTAAATGCCATTGTATTTTACAGAATTTAAACAATTTTGTTAATGGAGGATCAAAAATGATCATGTCACAATAATACTATGAGGATGTCCTAAAAAAATGACTAAAAATGCATTGCCACCTATACATTTATGACTAATGTGAAATTAACTCAAAAATAAAATTAAAAACAAAATTGATTGTTAATTATATGCGATAATTATTTTTGGTCATTCATTGTTATAAGTATGTACTTTTTTATTTTTAAATTTGTAGAATTGATAGGTACATTTAGGTAGAGAATACCATCTAATAATGTGTTGGTGATGATATATAATGAATGAATCTCCAGTGTGATGGTCACACGAATTCTCATATATGAGACGAGTTGAGTTATAATGAAAATGTAATATTTATGTTAAAAAATAAAATATTAATCATGAATAAATTATCTGTTCTTTATAAAAGAAATGTAATATTTTTTTTGAAAGGAAAAAAAAATGTAATACGTTTAAATCAAAATGTAATATTTAAAGTTAAATGGTTACTTATGAGACAAAAATGTATTATCAATTATGGATAAATTGTTTAATTGTTACTTATGAGAGAAAATATAATACTTATGACGAAAAATGTGATAAGTGTAATAAATTAAAAGTTGAAAAGTTATTTATGAATTAAAATTATAATACTTATATAAAAAATGTAGTACTCATTAAAAAGAAAAGAAAAAAAAAAAAAAAAAAAAAAAAAAAAAAAAAAAAAAAAACCCTCTCACAAATTAGATCCGTGCACTACAAAAAAAAACTACTTTTAGTGACAAAAAATTAGTGACGGGTAGAAAAACCCCTCACTAAATGTAGTATTTGCATAGTTTTTGTGAGGGTAAAAAATTACTCTAGCTAAATATTTATGATTTGGTGACGAAATTTTAATTTTATATTTATTTAAAAAGTTTACTCTCACTATTAGTAAAATAGATATTATTACTCTCACTAATGATGTGCAAAAATTATTTCACTAAAATCTATTCCCACCAAAACTTTGTTTTTTGGCGCTTGCATCTCACCATCTCTCAACACCGCAACCCCCTCACTCAGATGACGCACAACCTCCACAGTCCACATTCTCCCTTCTCACTCTCTCAAATCTAACTCTACCGTGAACCTCCACCACCGCCTCCATCGCCATAGCCGCCGCTGATTGCTTTGTCGTTTTAAAAAGAAATTTGAAACCCTAACTTACCCAAGTCTCCCTTCTCGCTTCCTCCGGTCTCCAAGATTCCAAGCAAAGCTGCAACCGACGACGAAGCCGAGGGCACCGCCTTCCCTGCGGTAGTCGCGGACGAGGGCTCTGCCTCCCCTGCTGTGCCGCCTACCAATTCGCCCACTGCCGGTAAGGGTTTATTGTTATCTTATTTTGTATTATTTTTTGGTTCTGTTTCTATCGACAATCCGACAAAGGCGACGAAGCTGATGCCGCCGACGAGGGGTCTACCTCCCTTGCGATAGCCACCGACCAGTTTGCCCACCGCCGGTAAGTGTTTCTTGTTATCTATATTTGCTATTTTTTTTTTACAGTTGAAGTTTTCTATATTTGTTTATATATGTATATGTCTGTTGTGGATGAATATGAATACTTAGAATAGTATTTGCTGTGGAGAATACTCCAATTAAAGCCTTGAAAAGGGAACCCCCTTTCATATTCGAATTAGGGCAAGGTAACCATTTCTTGATGAAAGAAAAGGGTCAGATCAAGAACCTTTTGAGTATCTATGTTTAGAAATTAACAATAAGCTCTGCATTTCTCCTGTCAGATGGCCAGTTTGCAGATTGATAACTCGAATGTTTTACTCTGCTTTTCTCTCATCTCTACTACTAGGATCCCCTATTGTTTTTAGTAGATTTTTTTTTGAATTACCACTTCAACTAGAGCTGCCTGTTATTAGTTTTCCCTCTTGGGGATCTATTTTTGTGTTCCATTATACTTAATGTTGCTAGCTGCATTTGTTGATTATGAGTATTGTGTTTTGATGTAATATGTTAATTTACTGCAGAACTTTACTATGTCAGTCACAATGTCAAATTTCTCTGTTGGCTCCAACAAGTCTGCATATCTTTTAATAAAAGACCAAACGGTTAGTGACATCTTGTCTACAATAAGACGTAGACAGGTATGGCTTTTAAAGTTTTAATTCTTTAGTTCTCTCCTTATGTACCCTTGATGCTTGGCAAGAGTGCTCTTTAACACTTGTGTTGTTTCATGCTAATGCCGGAAGGCACTTCTTTAGTATTCTCAATATTAAAGAATTGTTGGTTTAGGGATTATGAGGGTAGTGTGCTTTTTTGGCAGATCAACTACTATTCTGTATAAAAAATCACTTTCAAACATTCAGTTTCTAGGCTGGCATTTGGCTTTAGTCTCCTATTTCATGTTGATACCACAGTTTCATATAGAGCTATGTCATGTTGATACCACTATTTCACATAGGAGACTAGAAGTACTCATGAAATTACCACTGTTTCATGGCTGGCCTTAGTCTCCTATTTTAGACATCCAATTTTCTGAGCTTGTCTTATGACATCAGTGGGGTTTGCATCCCACCACTGGTCATCATTGTTATCAATACGTTATTGATTATTTCATAATTTTTTTAAAGCAAAATACTGCAGAAACTAGAGGCCGAGAGCAGTTAAAAAATTGTTTGCTTAATCTTTTCTTGCATTTTAGGTGAACGACAGGAGCCTTTGATGTATAATGTCATTAGGAACCGGATTCAGACGGAGTTCCCGGTGGTGGGACTGGATTGATGAGGTATATTTGCTTTTCATTTTATGGTTTCATTATAAACTAAGGATAAGATTAAATTATTGCGTTCTCTTTGTCCTATTACTCATGACTTGGTACACATATTTAAAATTTAATTAGATTGTGGTGATGATAAAGATTTTGATTTTTGTTGTTCAAGATTGCTCACCAAAACATGCATACAGTAAATTGCTGTAGTTTCAAGAATTTCAAGTGTATAACAGTATACTATTGTATTTTAAATTCTATACAACAGAATAATTTTGAGTGTATAATAGTTTAATGGGCCATATTACATTGAGCTACCAGAATTTTCGGGTTTGCAATTGTCTCCAATGCTAGTAAATTTTACCCATATTTCCATGATTTCTTCTACAATTTCACTTATAGTATTTTTTTGTCTTCAGGTCACTGATATCCCTGGTATCGTGAGGAGGCATGATGGTATGACTCAGGCCTTTATGTTTAATATAGGTATCACTGCTCTTGAAGGACAGTTTCATCGAATCTTTCCCCTATCGAGATAAACCTTTTATGAAGGTATGTTTCTAATGCTCAGTGTTATATATTAACGGTTCTTTTTCTGTCTTGTGAACTAAGATCATTGTCCATTCGATTCATATTTGACTTTGTTTCCTGAGATATGTATATAATGTCACTAAACTGTTGAAATAATCAACAAATGCTTTGCTCTGAACATTACAAAATCTTTAGTTTGCTTTCTGTGAATGCTTCAAACCGAACATAATTAATCAATCCCCAATGTATTTTTTTTTTGTATGGCATGAAACAGCTCTTCCTGGACACACAGCTCTTCTCTGTACATACAGATTTTGAACTTCCTTTCTTCCAAAATGAATAGGGTGATGTACACACAGAATAGTTCTATTGCAATCTGTATTTATCATTATATGATTATTATTATTCTTAACATAAAATTTTTGTTTAATCATATGCCATAGTAGATGTCACCCTTCTCCTTGCTGTTTACAAATATTGATAGATCATTTGATGGATTCTAAGCCTGAAAGTTGTATGTCTTAAGATTATACTAAAACATTTTGGGGTTTTATTGACAGAGGTTTGTGATTTCGAAGCTGGCGGGAAGTGAGATGATAAGCAGGGGTTTGAGCTCACCACTATTCTTGCAAGACTTGAGCAAAATTAGTTCAAATACTTAGGCAAAATAGCCAACAGATACATTACTATCACTATTTGTTATAATTAGTTTCTTTGTCTTTAGTTTTTACAAAGTTGTATGAGAAATTTCATTTTAATAGTGATGATGAAATATTTTAATATATTGATCGAGTCTACTTTGAATGCATTATGGTAAAAATTAATTTAATTTTTACCAATACAATATCTATAGTTACAACATAACATAATATCGATTAGTGAGATCACAATGTATTAGAAAAATTAATATTTAATGAGAATTAAAATTATAATTTTTAGTGACGGGATTTTCCATCACTACAAGAATATAATGAGAGGAAATTATGTTAGTGAGTAGTTGTATTAGCGACGGGATTTTTTGTCGTAAAAAGAACGTTTTAGTGACGGTAAATATACTATCACTATATGCTTATTGACGATGGTATCATATCCCGTCACTATTTGTTTTTATCCACGGAAGAAATAACGACGGGTGGTGACGGTAAATTTTCCGTCATTAAAAGTCTTTTATGATGGTTTTTAATGTTTTAGTGACGATTTTACCTCTCACTAATGACCAATTTTCTTGTAGTGGTGAGACGGTTTCATATAAGAATTTTCCATATTAAATATTTATAGCTTGTCTTAGTAGTTGATGTGCCACCAAGAGGTATGTAGTTCACAACTAAGGTCTCCACCCCTTCATAATTATTAATGAAACGTTATTTGGTATTCTTTTTTCAAAAGGTTGAATCCCTCACTTCTGTCGAGGTTCAAACCTTAATCTCTTCCCTCAAATATTACTTATTGAATCAGTAAGTTAAACTCATGCAAGGGGTTAGATATTCTTCCTATGTCATTCAGGAGATACTTCTTGTTGGATTGGAGTTGTGCTAAGGCCGCTTTTTGGATTAATTTTCATGGATCACTACATAAAGACTATCAAAAATAGAAATGCATTATGTCATGATATCAAATTGTGGTGCTTTAGGATTGGATTAAAACAATGAGATTGAAATGCAATAATTTATCTAAGTTTGTTTGGTCCACTATATCAATTGCAATTGATTGCTTATCAAATTAAAACAGCCTAACAAAATTTGTAATCACAAAGCAAGGATGTGTACGGAAAATTATGGTCTACACAGTGTTATGTGGACCATAATAAAAAGTATATTTTTAATATACTAAATGTATATTATTTTTATACTGAGTGTACATTATATAATATAATGTACACTCAGTATAAAAATAATATACATTCTCTGAATACAATGTACATTATTTCAGTATCTGAATATATATTTATTTTGTACTGAGTGTATATTATTTTACAGTATATAAAATATGGTGCACACAACATGGAACACAGAATAATGATTGGACATGCACAATTTGATGAAAATTAGTTAAACAACCAAACTAACAAAATTTGGTTCATCATTTTAACCAAAATATTTTCGTTTAATTAACAATTAACGATTTAAAAGTTTTAGGTTATTAAAGACTCGATGGTTGAATTTGGAATTGATGAGGATTCTTTTATGCGGGCTATTGTAATGCGAGCAAAAATCGATATGATGAAAGTGAGTGGAAAGTACAAAGATTTCTTGATGACCCTACTTGGGGCCAAAAGCTAGTTTATGGCAATTTATATTGTACATCACGACGCACATAGCAATGTGTGCCCAGACACAAAACACGCGCATTTCTTGTTGATGTTATTATGTCCGTTCGAACAGACCAAACCCTATTATGTGTAATTAGTTAAAAGTTTATGTGTTTTATGTTATGAGTTTATGTGTATTCAGTTAAGAGTTTATGTGTATTATGTTAACCAAACCCCATTATGTGTATTCAGTTAAAAGTTTATGTGTATTGTGTTATGAGTTTATGTGTATTCAGTTAAAAGTTATGTGTATTATGTTAACAAAACCTCATTATGTATATTCAGTTAAAAATTTATGTGTAATATGTATTATGTTAGATTTTTTTTTAACAACTTACCAAAACGACGTCGTTTTGAGAGATGCGGAGCGCACAATGTTATGTGCGCCGTGGTGCACGGTATAACGATTGCTTGTTGACTATGATCAACCATTTGTTTATCTTTAGATGTTTATAACTTGTCATTTATCTACTTGAAGATCAACTAAAAGGAGGAGCCATGGGATTGTAAACCGTTGTTTCGATTTTTTTTTAAATCTATTTTCTATTTTTTTTTAGTACTATTTATTTTCTATTTTTTGCTTGTCGGTTTTTTTTTTAGTTCGGGCAGTTTCATTTCGCAATTTTAATAAATTGAAACCAAAATATTAAGTTCCACTTCTGAATTGTAACTGGAACCTTTCGTTCGGTTCGAATCGTTGTCGTCTCTACATACAAACAATAATTTGTTGAAAAAGAAAAATAAATAAAATACTTGTTTAAGGATAAAAATGTTAATATAATTTTTAAAAAATGAAAAATTGTGACTTTTTAAATAATTGAGGGGTTATACATGAATAATTCAAGTGAAAAAATGCTATAAGCTTATAGTTCAGAAGAAAAATTACCATCTACTTTAAAATATAATGAGTTAAAAGGGTACAACCCCAACAAATCCATTCACCTAAAACCCTAATTAATTAAAAATATTTAAATTGCCCCAAAAGGAGTTGGTAAATGGTGAAAAAATGATTATGATCTTTTTAATTTATCTCTCATGTATAATTTATGAATTATTCCACAAAAGTAAAATTTACTTAATGCACGCCCTCAACTCCTCAAGTATTAGCTATAAGTTTTCATCGTCACCCCAATTACAAACATATAAATCACATCTTATTATCTTAAACAAACAGACAAGATATGGTTCAAACGACCATTTGATACCTACCTGAATTTTGCAGTACAGTTGAAGTCTATGAGCTGGACATTTCACTCCTTCGGTAATTTTTCTTTTCCTTTTTTTTTTTTTTTTTTTTTCAAAATCAACTCATTAGTGGCCTATTGAGAGATGCTGGACAAATGATTTTACTGCAGTAAGTCAGTAACACTCTAGTTGATATTGTATAACACAAATTACTGATCACAGGGGAGGATGCATATAAAAATTGACCAAGAAAATTGTACCATTTATTGCTAAAATTGCTCCCATTAAAATTTACCAACAACAAGGCACAACACAACCTAGCTCTTTTTGAAACCCTGGCCCAAGACTTCTCATCTTCATAACGTTCCGCTAAAATTGGTCCCAGTTTTCTCACACGTGTTCAGGAGCTGCAGGGACTGGAGGTGCGGTTGATGCTATAGTAAAATGCACACCATTTCTTTGTGCTGATTGCACCACGAATGCAAACTGTGATGCAGCCAATGCTGCAGCAGCCTCCTGATTCAACATAACGAAAACCAAGCATTTTACACAAGCGTGATGAACATTTGCTTCATATTCAATGAACATATACTCAACATGTAATGAAACATTATATATATATATATATATATATATATATATATAGGCCACTGTTGAAGTGAGTCCACCCCTTCCCATGAGTTCGTGTGGACAGATCTGGTCCATTAAAAGCTAGAGATCAATGGTCAGATCTGGTATATATATATATATATATATATATATATATATATATATATATATATATTAATGAGTATTCCTTGGAGCAATTGTAATGCGCATTTGCTGCAAGGATGGTGAGCCTCGCCACATGATATAATTATATGCCTGGAGGAAAATGGTGTAAAAGTTGATATGAAAGGCAGTAGGAAAACACTAACCTGCCTTTGCCTTCGCTGCTGCAAAATACTGATTGCCCAAACCATGATGTAACATGGTAAAAGAAAGCCAACCACCCGAAGCAAGAAAAGCTGAAGAACATAACCACTAGCATTCTTAATTCCAAGATTAACAGTAACCAGTAGACTCTCTTTAATGTTTCTCAATGATTGCAAGTATTCACAAGATGATTCCAATTTGAATCAAACTTACAGAGAAAAGGGCAGATGGATCTTCGTCATCTCCTTCACTGTCAGTCATACTCAGAGCATGCCGCAATAGCAGAAGAGCCATTAACTGCATAATCATTTCAGAATGACTGATCATTAAAAAGACACTAAGGTACATCTATTTGCAAATAAAAATGAGCTTTAAAATCTGAAAACTGAAAAAGCATGAGGATAGATCTATACTAAAATTAAAAATAAACAAATAAAATGGAATACTAGAATAGAATATCAAACAAATAAAGCAATTCATTGGCTTTTCACTTTGAAGTGCAAATACTGTAGGAAAATTAAATGATATTCGTGTATCTTATTTTATGCATGCTAGAAGTTCAAGAGCCATTGAGTTAGCATAAGAGGAGCACCCATAATTAACACTAGTTGCAAAGAGATGAGACTCACATTACCTATAATTAAGCAATCCATTAAAAAAGTAATAAATAGGCTTTTGTTACCATCTAATCTAATTAAGAAGTCTATTATTCTGTATCATATCTCCCCTCTGGCTTCCAAACTCATTATTTTTTGACATGGTTTCATAGATGTTTTCCAATGGCCTAATTCAGGTAGATCTCCAGGCAGGGGTAATGCTCTCACAAACAGTACCCTGCCATATTGTCAATTTTTCATTTCTGTTTGAGCTTCTCATTTCATTATTCTGGCTGTTTCAGACGTATAGAATCACATCTTAGCATCCAAATCCCAACTTTTAGCCTCTTGAAATGGACTTGATTCGCTAAGCTGCACATCACTTCAGTTATAGAGCCACAAATTTCCAGATTTGTTACTATTATGGCACCATCTTATCAAGTTTTCAAGTAAGCAGGACTATATATAGGAGTATCCACCCACATTCCTTATCAACTTTCAATCATTTTTGTTATCATGTCTTTCACATAAAAGCATTATGTTGGTTAATTCTAGTGGTTGCCCTTAGATTGTAATAGAAAGTCCTAATACTATCAACAAGTGAATTTTTAAGCTGCTTATTAAAATTTGAGAATAAAGAACTATAAGTTAAACTAAATGTATCACTATGGCAGGCAGCAAGGTCTTACAATCAAAGCAGCAGAACGGCAGAATGCAGCACCACTTGCATTTGTAGCATTATAATCATCATACTCAGCTTCCAAAATTTGGCGTTCTGCCTCAGCAATTGCCAAAAGGCGAGGATCATGCAAATCCAGGGGCGTACCAGAAATTTGCCATCCTCTGTCGTGACAAAATAAGAAACTGAAATAAAACTGAAAGGAGCTGTTTTGTAACAATTTTGTGTTGTTTATGTGAAGTAATGCTTGAGTTGGTGAATATGAGATTAGTTAAGGTTTTGTAAGGTGAGTGGGTGTGGTGGTATGCCGACGGATGTAGAGTTATCTGGGGTATACAAGGTAGGTGTGATCAGAAAGGAAGGGGCAAAGGAGAAGGAGGAGGTTGCGGGGAGTGGAGCACATCATGTAAAATGTTGATGATTAATTGGGTGGTATCAAATTAAAGCAGATATGAAGTTTATCACGGAAAATATTGATGGTTAACTGGCCGGCCTAAGTAACATAGAAGTTGTGTTGGTGAAGAGAAATGGGATGCGGTAATGAGAACGTGAGTGAACAACAGTTCTTTTTTTTTTTTTTTTTTTTTTTTTTTTTTTTTTTTTTTGGGTGTGTAAAACAGACTGATGTTTTAAAATATTTTTAGAAAATGAAATAAAAAAAAACATCATTGAACACAGTTTTCTGATTGTTTCTCAAAATGTGAAGACGCAGGTGTTAACAAATTGTTTGTCTATTGCAAGATTTCTTATCAAGGGAAGTAATTAAAGATTTTATGCACCAAACTTGCTAATATAAACAAGACAAAAGGCCAAACCAAACCAGTCACTTTTGGCACATTAATCATGATTAAACATACTCAACTAGACCAAAAGAAAAAAGCCTAAACGAAATGATGAAGTATAACATAAAAATAGATCTTACCCGATATCTATGGTAGTTTCTTCTGGCTGAGATCGAGGAGGAGCCGTATAACCAGGCTGATAAGGCTGAATATTCAAAAAGGAACATTTAGCATTGCGTATTTAACTATGCACCAAATATTGCACTAAATATTGTACAAGGAAGCAAGATTATTATTATACTTTAAAAGAAAACTGAGTGTTTAATATGTACTCCGTAACATTTTTTTACAGTCTCTTAAACCACAAGACATGCGAAACAATCAAAATATCAAAATGTACCTGATGACAGATCTCACAAGTAATGTCACCCTTCTCATTGCACCAGTGTTGGACACATTTTCTGTGAGCATACTGCAGTATAAATTTTCCCGTTAAGATATTTCACCCAGCATGACATTGAAGGAAGGAAGGGAAACAAAATACGAAGGTAAGAAATCATGGAAAATCATAAATGTTGCACTAAATAAGATCCAGCAAAAACTAAACCTTATACAACGGAAAAAATTTAGTTGGAATGAAAGGAGAAACCACGAGTAATAAGCAATTGAACTACCAGATGCTTTCTAGACCTAAGTCATGAGAGGAAATTAACATGAAATAAACTGTTTATAGCCAAATGGTACACAAATCACCAGGTAAACAAGAGCCTTCATAGACCACAGGAAAATATTGCTACTTTAGTGCTAATGTGATAGCTTGTTATATAAACAAGGATCATCTTTCAACTCATAAACATAAATAAGCATGTCATAAATAGCACTTTTCTCAGTATAGGGATCTCAACATGGAGCAAAATAGAGAGAAGAGATCCCGCTAGGCTCCGATCAATATTCAATGCAGAAAGGAAACCTTGAGCACCTCTTTTATACAACTTCACAGCATTTATTTGATTTAAGCAATAACTTTGAATGCTTTGTGCATATACTCTCATCTAAATTATAGAGATTCATGTTTACCACTCAAGAATTGACAATGTGCTTACTCTCCACTCAAACTGACCATGATTTTTAAGGGCATATTCTTCTGTGAAATCAATAAGAAATCACAATGGAATTTGGTATTCATCTGTACATTTCATAACATAGAACTCATAATATTACCACGTTAAAATGGTTACTGGAAAGATGTTAACGAAAACCTTACCTTGAGACTGCCACTACAAGCACATGGAGTCTCCAAATTCTTCACAGAATCCTCCTCTTGGCAGATGCGACATTCCCTTATACCAATTAGAGGTGCCTCCTCATCTGCCACCTCAATATCTTTCTCTTTCCCCATGCCCACCACCTTATCCTCTACCACAGCACTGGAAGAGGTCCCTGCACTTTCTGTCTTCTTTTCAATATGCTTTGCCCCATCAACTGGCAGGCCAGACCCTACTTCATCCGTCTTAACCAGTTGATCAAAATTCACCACTGAATGCTCACCCATTTACACCAGTATCAAACAACAACAACAACAACAGCACTTCCTACACACAATCACCCAATAGATCCTTCAAAACTAGAGTAATCCAAAATCCTCAAATTTTTAGGTTAAACCCTCATATTAACAAAGGGTGCAGTATTTACTTAATAGACTTACAAATACTCAGTTGCAACAAAGTCATCGAATGATAAACAAAAACAAGAACTTTAAATATTAATTAATAAAAAAAAAAAAAAATTAGTTTGATCTTTCCCATAAGATTCAAACATAACAAAACTTCCTGCAGCAAAGCACTCATCAAAATCACTAAAATCACCAAAAATCTATCATTTTCATTTAGATTCGTAAATTCATAAACCTCGACAAGTTCAAGAAATCAACTAATTCAAATCAAACCAATCACATTAGTAAAATATACATATAAATAAATAACAATGCATAAAGAAACGAAAAGTGAATGGGTAAATACAAAAATCCACCGATCAGGCTTGTAAGCACAGCGAGATCATAAATATCGAACAAAATTGAAATCTGAACAGAGAAATAATATAGAAATCGAAACGGACCTGGAAAAAGAGAATTTGGTAAGAAATAAAAACTAGAGTACTAGACCCAGCCAAGGAAATAATTTAGTAATAAAACAAATGTATATACAGACTAAATACAGAATATGGTAGTATTTAATTTTCCTTTTGAATTTTCTTGTATAAGGAACAGTAAGCGACTGGAAAGCTGGATTTTTGCGGCATTTATTGCTGATTTTTTTTAGTGTTTTTTTTAAAAAAAAAAATTATGGGGAAATTCCTATTAAATAAATCATAAATTGAATTAAATTAAGAAAATCAATACATAGCTTCAAGGGTCAAACTTAAAATCTTAATAGAGCATTTGATTAGAAGGAATTATAATTTCATTACCACCTAATCTCGAAAGTAATTAATAGAGCCTGCAAGTAGGGAAGACGACAAAAGAAATCTGATCTCTTCCGTTTTCTTGCATGGAACATGCGAGAGCTAATTTGTCTTGACGAACCGCATGTAGGAAAGGCGATAGGGACCAAGCTATCTAAAAGAGAGGAGAACCTTTCAGTCCAGGGATCGACAAGGGCCGGGTGGGCCTTGAGGCTTTCACGAGAGGGAGGGATGAGAAAAAGACAAAGGGAAGGTTATTATTTTTGTAACACTCCATTTTTCTTAAACCTTATTAACAGACTTAATCTTGAAAGATAAGCTGAGGCAACGAAATAAACTTACTAAACAAACTTAATAGGGGTGCCACCGCCACAATCACCCTTCACGGTGATTGCACAGGCAAAGGGTAAACAAACTAAATCATTCAAGTTTTACTAACATCAATCAAACTAAGGGTTAAAACCCCGGTGTCCAGCTCCATCAAAAACTCAAGGGAAAGTTAACTACAAGTCTCAAAAACAAACATCAAGAGTTTAGACTACAACTAGCTAACTATGCTAATCTAGTCTAACTCATACTCTCTCACGAACTGGGTCCACCTGAAAGGGGTTAACAAACAATAAGTAGAAAACAAACCCGTTAGCACGAAACTAAGTATAACGCTACTCAACCCTGTAAAGTACTACAATATATACTTTTTTGGAAAACATTTGTTTCACATACTTAGATCAAGTATTCTCAATCACTCAAGCAGCAATTAACACATGCTCAAGAGGGTTTCTATATGCTTGCAACCTAATTATCAAATAGGCACTCTTTCTCAATTAATCAACTTATCAACAATCTCATGCTTTCATATGCTTGACTTAAGAATAGTCTCATAACATCATATATCTCAGTAAGCAATCTCATGCCAACATATAATTCATTAAGCAATCTCATGCTAACACATACTCAATAAGCAATCTCGTGCTATCATAGACTCAACATGCAATCTCATGCTATCACATAATTCAATAAGCAATCCCATGTTATCATATACTCATTATGCAATCTCATGCTATCATTTAGTCTCTAAGCAATCTCATGCTATCATATACTCGATATGCAATCTCATGCAATCATTTAAGCAATCTCATGCTATAATTTACTCAATATGCAATCTCATGCAATCATTTAATCTCTAAGCAATCTCATGCTATCTTTTACTCAACATGCAATCTCGTGCACTTAACTTGATCATGCAATCAAATGAACATGATGCTTTAGTATGAGTATAGATAGATATACATATACACTCTTTTGTAAAAAGAATACTTTTCTGTGGAGGTTTCTTAGAGTCACAATGACTCGCTTTGCTCTTCTTTTCTAGAGTCTCAATGACTCGCTTTCTTTAGAGTCGCAATGACTCGCTTTCTTTAGAGCCGCAATGACTCGCTTTCTTATACTCGTGGGCGAGGTAGGACTTCACCATAATGTGAATGAACCTATTTGGGCTCGGCATCTAGTCGGCCTAATACTCATCTCGCCCACGGAACCACTCTCTTAGTCTTTTCTCAAACTCTGTGGAATCAGGTATCGAACTATCAGTGTGCACACCCCCTGACCAGGATTCCAAGCCTGGCGGGCAGTTTCCAACCTAGTAACTCGGGAATATCTACCTCGTTACGTCATATCGGATCGCAATATCCGTTACTTGCTTTACTTTCTTTCTTTCACTATTTTGTCGGTTCTATCCGATCTTATCTCTTTTCTTCCGAAAGGACATAGTCCTAATCGGGCCTCCAAAACCTCGGATTACTCACACTAAATACATATAGATATAGCTCATGCAACACTTTACTTAGACAAACTTATGCACATAACTTCTCAACAACTTCTCAATGCAACTAGATATCGATTTCCAACATAGAGATAAGTTTTTGAAAATAGAACTTAGGCTCACATTGGCCACTTATGCATTTTAAAACATGGTATGCTCAATTATGCACTTTACTGTAAAATATGCTTCAAAAACCTCTTTCACTGTAAACTCTCAATAATTGTCTAATCATGCTTATAAATCATAATTTAGTCAATCTTCATTGGCAAACACTTAGCAAGTATTCAACATGCACTTGAACTCAAAATACTCAACAAAATCTCATTTACCGTAATCTAGCATTCAATAAGAACATGCTCTGTACACATCAACACTCAATAATCTTGACAATATTCTCAACAAGTCATAATGGACATCTAGGCATGCTTTTCTAGCAAACTTAACAAATATTGATCATCTTTCATAATCTAACAATCATATAATTGTCATGCTTCTCAAACAAATAGCCAAGAGCAAACACTTAACATTTTCATTCACTGTAAATGCTTCCAGATAACTTCTGTAGCATAATGCTTCACAAGTTCTATCACAAATGACTAAATTCTACTCCGAATTCAATGAAATCAATTTCTATTCGTGCGTCGTGACGGCCCCGAGTGTCCGAGCCTCAAGGGCCCCGAGTCCCAGTCTGAAACGACACGTAGCTGAGCCACAAGGGCCCAGCCACTGCACAGCTTTTGCCTAGCGGGGCTTGAGGAGCCCCGCCGCCTGGAACCGCCAAGCGGCGGCCTAGGGCCACGACTCTAACCTTGAGCCGTGCCCTAGGGCCGCTCCTCCACCGGGCTGGCCAACGGTCCCTGCCTAGGGCCGTTAGCTAGTCTCGTGTCTCATCTGGTGCATACTATTTTGTGCACCGGTGAGTATCTTCTTCATCTGTTACTCACAAACAGGCAACCAAGCACTCCCAAATCATCAACAACACATCATAGATCGACAATAGATCACTTAATAGCTCAAACACATCAATATTCTAGCATTTCTACTCATTTCAATCACTAAAATAGACTTCACAGAGTCTAGAAAGCTTATGGGAGTCTATGGGGTTATACCTTTGTAGGTTCCTCCTCTTTGGCTGGGATTCCACCTTCTTCCCAAGGTAGCTACATCCTCCTTCACCTCCTAAACATCTCAAACAAACCAACACAACACTCTTAAGACTAAATTCTCAGAGGAGGGAGGATAGAAGGAAAGCTGGAAAGAAATGAAGGCTAAAACTTGAAGAAACTTACTGTGATTTTTCCTTTGGCCTTGCAGAGCAAATGTTGGGAAAGCTAAGAGTGGAATCAGGAAGAAATTGGAGGCTACTATTCCTTTTATATGGGTTCAAACCCCTAGGAGGATCTCTCATGATTGGTGGATGGCAAAAGAGTAAATTGGTGATTGTTCTAAAAAGATCAGACAAGGTTTTTGGAGTAGAGTGGTTCACCATGCTTCATGAACCATGGTCTAAAATCAAGATTTAAAACAGTTTGGGGTTGAAAATGAATTTTCCAAAAATGATTTCTAGATAAACACTTGATTTAGGTTTCTCAGATTTCTCCCGGTTTCACTCAGAACGATTTTTCAGTTCAAAACTCAGTACGCAATGTACCCGAAAATTTAGGATTTTAGATTTAAATCATGTCTCGGTGTTGAATTTATGTAAAAGTGACTCAAAATAATTTACTCAAACACCGATTTCATCGCAAAAAAAAATTATAGAGTAAAAAATGACTATTTTGGAATTTCTTAAAATCGAATTTATAAAATTAAATTTTGGGTTGTCACAATTTTGCGGCATTTAACGATCCGAATAACGTTAGGGCCTGTGGGGTCAAGATTAAGAACAAAACTCAAGAACATACCGATGGATTTAATTAACCCGGGGTGACCCGAATTATTAAACCCGGATAAGAATATATATGGAACAAATAAATGTAACGCAAGGATATCGTAAGGTCGCAGGGACCGTAGGTTGTATTAAATATCGCTAATAAGCTATTACAAGACTTGATTAGGACAATAATAGCTATAAAGTAGTAGTTTAGGAATATGTTGTGTAAGATAATGATCAGGTCCCTTGTTAGGACAAAGATGGGGGCTTTTATACAAGTTAAACCCCCCAACCGCCTCCCCCTAAATCGGGGGGTAGTTGGATCTCCGAGTTGACCGCGCCCGGGTGTAGACCGGGTCCGCGGGTGTGCCGAGCTCGACATGGCCGAGCTCACCGTGGCCGAGCTCACCATGGTTGATCTCACCGTGGCCGAGCTCACCATGGTCGAGCTCATAGGGCCGAGCTCGACATGGCCGAGCTCACCGTGGCCGAGCTCATATGGCCGAGCTCACCATGGCCGGGCTCATAGGAATAAGCTCACCTGGCCGACCTCATGTGACCGAGCTCACCATGACCGAGGCACCTTGGGCCGAGCACGGGGCCTAACCACTAGGCCGTCTATTCCATACTTCCTTGCTCCGCTTTCCATGGTCGGTTTGCTCCAATCATAATATATCCATCATGAGTCCCCCACTCTTTTCGTTGGAGAAGTCGACAACGAAAGAGAGTAAATGTCCCAACCCGACCTCCATCCGTAACAGAGCCGAGCTCACCACGGCCGAACCCATTGTAGCCGAGGCGTCCTAGGCCGAGGTGCCTTGTGCCGAGACGTCCTAGTCCAAGCTCGCTATGGACCTAGGCGCCTTGGACCGAGGTGAGACGTCTTGGACCTAGGTGAGACGACTAGGGCCGAGGTGAGACGACTTGGGATGAGGTGAGACGTCTTGGGCCGATGTGAGACGTCTTGGGCCGAGGTGAGACGTCTTAAGACGAGGTGAGACGCCTGAGGCCGAGGTGAGACGTCTTGGGCCGAGGTGAGACAACTTGGGCTGAGGTGAGACGTCTTA